CTGTGTGTCATTGCTATGCAGGAGTGTTAGTAGTAAGGCTCCATTCAGCCTATGAGCCAGAAGGTGACACTGAATTGAAGCCAAGCACTAAACACCCAACAAGGGACTGATTGCCTTGCCTACACCAGCATTTGAATGAGTTAAAAATCACAGAAAGCTTAAGAAAACCTTCACTGCTGCTATGATGATAACAGAACTGATTTTTCTTGCAAAGTTATTCTTTGAACATACTGTATATCTTATCAAACAAGCTTGTGCACAATAGTAAAAAACAAACAAAAAAACAAAAACCTAAATCTGCATCATATTCATGTGTACCAAAAGGTTTTACTGGCTTCTTCAAAATGACAAACAAAAAACCTGTAAAATGTAAGAGTCTTCTTCTTTCAATTAATTCACATTCTGCAATGTTCCTCAGCTGCAAATAAATAAATAAACAAAAAATAAAGTAAGAAAAAAAGATACCTTACCAGCACTTGAGATAAATTTTCCCTTGATAACTTCTGCCCCAATGTAACAGGTCATTACTGCCTTGTTTGTGCTTGTCTGGTTTTTCTTGAGTAATTGTATAAAATCAATGGAAGCGCAAAGTCATGGCACAGCTACATTAATATTCTTTTATTTATTCTCTATGTAGATATGGGAGCTAATGAATCCAGAGACTGCTTTACAGTGTTTGTACATGACACATAACTCATTTCCTACAGACAAAGAGACCCTGAAGTCCTTTGTAATTACCCACAGAGATGTTGAGCTGTTTGGTTGCCGTTTATCTCCCTCACTCGACACATCCCATGGGCAAGTTCCTCTCTGTTCTCAATGAAAACCCCTCTGTAACGTGCTCACGCTTTCTTTGATCCTACAAACATTTTTAATTTCAGTTAAATTTTCAAAATTTACTTATTAGATAATCATCAATTTGTTTTTGCATGAACTGACATTGCAAGCAAGGACTTGGAAGTGTCTAAGCTCTTTGGCATGCATTTTTTGGAGCATTTTTTGGGAAGATAGCCAGAGGCAGTCAATACTTCATCAAATCTTCAGTGTCACTTTGAGCTTGTCACTGCATTAGCTGTGTGTCTTCTAATGAATATGCAGTGACGCACCTCTATCACGTTGGCGCTTTAACATTTTGAGAAAAATAACATTAATATGTGTTAAAATGTTCTGTGAAGGTATGAAGGCACAAGTGCAAAACTCAAGTTTGAGGACAACATATTGTAAGACTGAGCAGTGTATAAATTAAAAGTGAAAGGACTGTAGGTCTTTCTTAAACAGATGCAGGTAATGTTTGATTGGATATGTTTACAAAGCAGATGACAAATTGCTTTAATGAGTAAGAAATTATCTGACATGTAAGGGGTTGGGAATCATTTTAAAAGTCATTTTGCTTTGTTGACAGACCAAATGAGGCATCAGAATTTCAGTGATGGTGTCCAACTCCTCAAATCTCTGCTTTGGTCAAAGGTTGTTAGTCCTAAAAAACACAGAAAAATATGCTGTCTTTTTTTCCCCCTCCTCTCTTCTCCTCTCCTCTGCTCTCTATGCTTTCTATCTTCACTCCCATGCTTCTTTCTATCCATTGCCAAGCCTCAGATTAATGCATTTGACAAACCACTGAGCAAGAAAGGGCATTAATAGCTACTCAAAGCAGAGAGCTATCATGGGAACCCTTGTTGTGAGAAAATTACGCATCTTCAGACCCGCAAGGCGCTATGCGGGGATAACAACACTACTACACACTGTTTTCTAAACACTGTCTTGGCCAAGCCTGAAAAGCAAGAAGCAGGAGGAACTTGGGCATCAACTGGCAAGGCACGCCAAGGTGAGGTAAAATGCGGGAGGGCGGGGAGTGGGTTATGTTTCCTGGATTAATGCGTATAGCCCTTTGTTACTGAAACATCTGGTCCACAAAGGCCTAATCACCAAATGACATGATGAGCCAGCTTACAGTGGCAGACTGACAATAAAGGTTTATTCCTTCAAATACACTATGGAATTAAATATGCGCACGCACACTTTGTGTCTGTCATGTGTGTGTGAACGTATGCACACCCAAGGATGTGTGTCAATGTACATGCATGTATATTTACATATGCTGTAAGTTCTTTAAAATATATATTTAAAAAAATGCAGAATTCTCGTGTGTCTGATGTGCATACACCTATGAGTGTTTTTGCTGTTTGACGTTATTCTCCATAATTGCTCTTGACAAATGACCACAAAAGGCTGCAGCATACTTGTGTCTAAAGACATGGAGTGTTTTTACAACTGTATGACCTTCATCGTGTTTTCCTCTGGTATTTTCAAGTGGCAAACACATTAAAGACTCCAGGTGAAAAAAAATACATATTTAGTTCCAGCCTATGAACAAAAATAATGATCAAAATGATTTATAAAAACAGTTTCCAAATGCATGACACATTCAAGGGAATGGTATGAATGCATTTAGCTAATTAGCTTTTAAAATAAGAAATTGGCAAAGCAAAAAGCTGACCCCATTTGTAATTTTGAAACATGTTTGTTAGTTTGCCATTTTGAAATGTTATTGTGTTTGTATTTTTTTTTAAAACTATCAAGTAACCTCTCTTTTAATGAAAGTTCTTAGATTTCTTAAAGATTATATCCTTTTTTCTGCAAGCAAACCTAGGAAACAAAAGCTTTCTCACAAGTACTATTTTATTTTTTTGTTTTTTTACATTCTGCTGTATTCAGTTTAATATCATCTCAAGTTCACTGACATGAACACGATAGGAAGGTTTGCGTTTACTTTCAGAAAATGAGATTTTGACACTAAAGATGGAACATTTCTGGGTCTAAATATGTGCATTGTCCATTTTCAACATTTGAACCAACTCAAACAACGTTTTTTCCCTTGGAAAATACACTTTTGTACATTTAATGAATTAGTTTTACTCTACATAGTGTAATATCCTAACTATAACAAGAACTGTAATGAATGACTTGCAATGAACTGTGCAAAACTAGACTTTTATTAATACCTCAAATTTTTGTGTCATCAAGTTTTTCTAACCCTTCCACTGACATTTTGTGCCGCTCTCAATGGCTGCTGCAACAAAGACTGCATTCTCATTACATTCTCGCCATAACACTGGTACGTTATTCATTAATATTTACTTGTCCATGACTTCTGTCCTGTGTACCTGCTTACTAAACACCACTGTGTTATTCCTGGACATCTCATCAATATTGACTCTCCTACTGCTATCTGAAATGTAGTACGAATCTAACCTTTGTCAGTATCTGTCACAGTCATGATTACAGTCGGCTAATGCTGCAGAACAAAAGTGTAAAGGTGGATGAGGAGATGCTTGCAACACCTGACTGAATGTTTGAGAGCTTCCCTCTCTAAATAATATTGGTCTGGGTATACGAACATGAACGCATCTTCTAAAGCGCATTGTGACTATATAGAGCACATTGTCATGCATACTGCGTATATCTAAATGAGTGGCTAATATTGCCTTACTCATTAATGCAGTCACCATAGACTGTTAAACAGCCTATGTTCAAATCACTGGTGTGTGTGAGAGAAAGTGAGAAGGATTGGATGATGAAAAATTTGAGCTTTATTTGGATGGCTTTGGGGTGTTGACAGGGGTTGAGGAAAATTGTTTTTCTTCTTAAACAAAAAAGAAAGAAAGGAAAAATAAAATCCAACATGAACACACGAACACATGAGGACTCGTACATGTGAACTTCTACAAAACCACACAACTGCAAACTCATATACACACCCAGGCAATGATCTGACAGGTGAGAATGGCTTAAAGCTAGGTTAAAGGGGGAGCACACTACATAAGCAGGTCACCTCTCAGGGGACATAGCAATTTTTCATTGTTGCACTACACAGACCCCCCAACAACCCACCCCACCCGCTACCTCAAAAAAAAACCCCAAAAAACAGCGGATGGGTGATTTTCGCTTGTTGTTAGTCCTTCCATCAGTGCTGTCTTTCTGTCTCTTTTTTTTAAAGTGGCTTCTCTATTAGCTCCTACACTTCACTTCAAAATTGCAGTAGCTTTGACATGAAAAAAATGGCAGTGTGCAGTGCAAGCTAGTGCATTAGGGACTGGTGGAAGTTTTTAAGCCTTTCCTTTTTAACACAGTGTCATTGCAGACAGTGTAGAGTAAATATGTGAGCATAAAATATATATTTGTGTAAAATATATATAAGCATAGAGCACTTTTTACAGTCATGTAGTACAACAATATAAAACAAATTACTAATAATCATAGAAAATACATTCAAATTCCGTATATAGCCATACAGTTATTATCAGTAGAAATCTCGACAGAAAGAGTAGTTAGACAAAAAAGTTGTTTTGTTTTTTTTTGAAGGACTCTGTAAGCTTGTCTCGCCATCACACTAAACTACCTCCTCCCAACCAGTAAGACATTGTAATTCGAAAATACCTCTTGTCTGCCTCTTGACTGTTAGGATGCCTGGGTTGTTGACCCAGAGGTTTGAGTTTATTCCCATATGGAAAAGAGATATATATATAAATTTTGTATCTGTCTTGTGTGAAACTTGTATGAAAAGCATATAAGAGTGAAAACAGATATAAGATCCCTTGAAAAATTATATAATGAAACTTGTATGTTTTGGATACTTACTAAAACAATGTATGAAAGTAATGAGAAAGTGGCCACTTTCATGAGTAAATCATGTAAGCCTTATATGATTTACTCATGAAAGTGGCCACTTTCATGAGTAATCACATATAAGTTTTTACTATTTCTTTTCCATATGGGTTATATTATTTATCATTTCTAGTCTTTGGTTTCTTTGAGTTCTGTCTTATGGTTTATGTCTCTGTGTTCTCTAGTTGCTCTGTCTCCCCTGTCAGCTGTATCCCCTTGTCAAGTTCGCGTCTCTGTGTTATGTTTCCTGTTTTACTTTGAAAGTCCGTGTCTCATGTAAATGCGTCTGGTTTTGCTTCCTTTGTCTCGTTAGGCCTGATTTGCCCAGCTGTGTTTCCCTCCTGTTACCCATTCCCTGATTGCTCCATCTGTGTATTTTAGCCCTGTGTTTCTCTGTGTCCGTGTTGCGATCTACCCTTATCTTGTTGTGTGGTCTGTCTGCGTAAGTGTATTTTGTATTCTAAGTTTTGTTACCCTTTTGAGTTTAGCATTAAAGCTGTTTAAGTTCACGTTTGTCTCCAGAGTCTGCACTTTGGGTCCTTTTCCTGCCTGCACACAGCCGTTCCATAATATTGTCTAGTGCTTGTACCTTGTACCTGACGATTTTCAAACAAATACTTTTTTTCCCCACTCATATATAAATCATTGAAGCACAAAAAGGCACCTAACTCAAGGGATGAGCCAGTGTTGTGTCACAGATGACAGAAAATTTTGAATTTTATCTTTAGGCAGTGTCAGTGGTTTTTTTGTGTGTTGCAAAAATACATAATTTATTCTTGTTTTGTTCGTTGAATCTGTGAAGAATGCCAGAGATTACACCGTTTAACAAGTATAAAATAGTATTTTTGCACTAACAAGATGATTTTTAAGAGCTTATCATCTTACCATCTTTGGAGATGGATCAACCAGAGACTTGGCATGTCAGAGCAATGTGTGGAATGTCCATTAAAAAAATGTGAAAAGTGGTGGAAAGAAGAAGAAGAAACAGGCCTAAAAAGGTCTATTCAGCAAATGATCAGTACCTGAAAGTCCTGTTCTCAAGAAATGGGGGGGGAAAAATCTTGACAAGACCTGACGGAGGATTTGAGAGATGCATTTGGCTCTTTAGTTGTTTCAGGTACTATTTGCCAAAATCTCATCAGAAAAAGCCTCAAGGCAAAAGTGTCTGTCACACATGTTACAAAAACTATTCGGTTGTGGTTTGGTGGAGAATAGTTTATTCATGGTTTACTAATATACCCTAATAAGTTGATTTAAAGACTGACTTTCCTCAAAATGTCCCTGAGAATTACTGCAATCCTCTGACTACTGATCCTATATATATGTATTATTTTCTTGTTTAATGATAACAGATTTTCTCGCACAATCCTCCAGCAGGAGACCTTGTGATTCAGACTGCTTGCAGCTTGTCTATTGTGTGCCAGTGTGCACTCTAAGCATGTTGCTGACAGTGATTTGTGTTTGTAGAGCCTGAATGGGCACTGCTCATCGAACATATTTGACACCCTTGTTTTATAGATTCTCCAGTTTTGACTGTGTGCACTAATGGCTACCACTCTGTTAGAATATGTTCGAACAGCCAGGAAAGTCTGAAAGACCTCTTAAAATACATCTATCATCTTCTTCATAATGTGGCGCCCACAGGAGACGCAGCCATCACTGGAGTTTTCCTTCTGAACAATGGTTCCATTTGGACGGGTCGATGAATGGTCATTCAGAGCAGTGTTTTTTTTTCTTTTCTTTGAAAGGCTGGAGAATTTTAGGTTGAGGTTTAAAAGAAGGACTCCCAGGTCTGTCCACTTCACATTGGAAAGATAAAAGCCTCATGACTCAGGTGAGATGTGTTTTAATATCATGGAGCTTTTCTTAGAGAGTTGACACTTTCACGTTGAAGTACTGTCTGACAAGCCAAGTAACTCTCTGATGTTGTCAGGGTGTGATTGGTCAGACCTTTGTTCGGTATGCTCTGTATTCTCACAAAAATCTTTTCCAGCTTCTATTTCTGTCAGTATTAACAAGGTAACAGAATAATTACAAATGTAAGCAGTGATATTTAAAGCATTTTCATTTTAAAGCAAGCAGTGTTCTCCAAAATTAGATATGTTCACCAATTTCTCCATTCCCAATGCATAACATATGCAAGACTCTTTCTTATCTCACTTACACACAAGCCATCCTTTGGAGGCATTTTGTGATGCACCAGGTTATGGTGCACATTCTCTCTCAGGACTGTCATTCTCAACACATAATTCTGCAATGCAAACGGTTAGTGGTGTGACAGGGCATGTTTTAACCCAAGCTTAATTTGCACATAGGCACAAATAAATGAGATAAGCATCCATTTTCTCAACAGTTTATCCAATTTGGGGTGACAGAGAGACAAAAAACCATCAGTGCTCACCTACAGCTAATTTGAAATAACCTGTCTTTGGATTTTGGGAGTAAGCCAGAATAGCTGGAGAGATATGAACATGGAGGCACAGGGAGAACGTGCAAACTCCACACAGGAGAATTTAAACCCAGAACCTTTCACTGTGAGGCAACAGTTCTAATAAGTGCACCACAACTTTTTTTGTAGTTCAGTATTCATTTATGGAGAGATGTGTATGTGGAGTCAACACTGTGTGCCTTTCTGATCATAACAGCTTCATAACCAAATCATTTTCAAATTGGCTGCAGATTGGCTGAAATCCAGAATTCAGCTTAAAGTCCTTCTGCTCCTTCTGGGCATTTCTCCTCTACACTCGTACTCATTTTACTCCTCATGTGTTTGTATGCCATCACTTCTTTGTGGTCTCTCTATGCTCTTAACCTCCAACTGATCATTGCAAATTGCTTCCCCACCCCGAGGTCAATTGTGTTAGAAGTTTCTTTCCATTAGAAAAAGGTTCTTACTCCCCATCATTGCCAAGTTCAACCTTACAGCAGTTAACAACATCATACGTATTAGATGCAATCTTTCATGTCACACCACAAGCAGATTTGACTGGTGACATTATGTTCTTTCACCAGTGTTTTTGTGGTCAGTCTGTTTAAACTTCAGATCATATTACAATGTCTTCAGAGTGACATAAAAATAAAAACTAAATTACTTTGTCCACGGAAAAGAGCTAGGGTATGAGGCTCCTGGCATGCTTTTCCACATGGAAAAGCACACTAAGTGACAATAACTCAAAACTACATGGAACGAAAGTTTAGAAAATGTGCAATGTAACTGTTTCCATTTACCAAAAACATTTGAATTTGGGTTATTTTTCCATTGTGACTGTGCTACTGTATTCACTGGGGGCAACATATTCTCTCAGGTAGATTTAGAGACAGGAGCTGGAGCTAATGGTGCTGGCTAACAAGTGACACTCTCTCATTAAGTGGGAAGATTTGTCTGAGTGGCCAGTCAGGACATTACACAAGGTCAGAGCTTCTGTCTGCCATGGGAAAATAAGTGAAGTAGAAAAGAGAAAAGAGGCCAAGCAGACAGGCTTAGAGACAAGATGCTTGCTGTGCTGTCTGAAAGCTCCTGTCCTCTCAGGCTGGCAGGGCTTGATGTGAGCAGAGTTTGAAGTTTGGACTTTGGTCACTGCTGCTTTTGAACATGGTGCTATTTCATGCCTGTATGATGTGTGTGTGTGTGTGTGTGTGTGTGTGCCTTGTGTTGGACCGTGTATCTATATAAACTAACTTTACTGACCACTGGGTGAAGTAGAGACTCTTTCACAGGTCTATGAGAGTTGCTACCAGAATTGGAATCAATAATATAGATAGGATACACATTAGGAGATCCAAGCGGTTTTAACAGCCCCATTGTCATTCCACCACTTTTGTAAAGTGCTGGGAAGCGGGCTATTCTTTCGAAAAATCTTTTTAGTTTTCATAAGACTGAGGAAGATAGACAGCTACACAAACAGAGAGACAAAGACAGAAGGAGAGAGGCAAAGACAGGAAGCCTTTAGACAATCACACTGAAAGCGCATTTTTGACACGTCTTCTGTTCGACAGCCATTCACAGAAGCTTTCAGGATGTAATTTTTTTCCAGACCATCAGCCACTGAAGTGATCCATGGTTGTTTTCTCATCAGGGATAAAAACACTCTGCATGACTTGCCCTTCACCAAGGAAGCTGGCCTTCATGAGCATGTTTGCTAATAATATATTCTGAAAAAACTAAACTTTTCTTCTGTATTAAAGAGCTTGCAATGTGTGCCCATTTGAGCTAAGACAAACATACACTCTAAGATTTAAAGTGTCTAACTAAAAATTTGTTACACATATATAAGAAGTAGAGTATCAAACACCTATACAATATTAGAGTCCTATTTTTTCAAATGTAACATCTAAGGGATGTTACATTTACATAAGATGTAATATTAGGGAACAACCATCAAAGTTATGATTACTACAATTCTGGTTTAATCAGTTCAGCTTTAATAGAGCTTTAATGTGTATTGTTCTAATGTATAATCTGCACAAGTTTCAGTGAACAACCCTATTTGTTTTGCGCTGCTGTAGTGATATCACAGCTAGAAACTGTGCCTCTATATCTAAAGCATCATCTGGGTCTATCTGTATTGGAGCTGTACACTGGTGTGAATTAGAGATAAGGTGTTTAGAGCAAATGTGACTGTGGGAGACACTAACGTAAACAGGCCTAAAAAGTTAAAACAACACAATCAGAAATAAAAAAAAAGGGGGGGGGGTTGTGTTTCTCTCAAAATTAAATTTAGCGTTATCTCTTGTTTATTTATTTCTTTGCAATTTATAATACTGGAAAAATAAATCTTAAGTCAACACACTTCTCTTTATATTTTGCAAGGAAACTGGAAAAGGTTCAATTATTTATTGTAAAACAAATGGAAGGGTCGTTTATAAGTCATTTGGAAGGCAAAAACACTTTATAACTCTAATGTGCTTGAAAGTCAATATTTGGAATAACGACCTGAGCTCTCTTAGACAAGCTCTCTTGTAAAAAGTAGTCCTCAAGAATAGTTCTGCAGGCTTTTTGATCCCAACAAGTTCTTCTTTGGATGTTGGCTGTCTTTTGTTCTAGTCTCTGTCAAGATCAGAGATGGGCAACGCGTTACTGTAATCTGATTACTTTTTTCAGGTAACGAGTAAAGTAAGGGATTACTATTGCAAAAACTGTAATTAGATTACCGTTACTTTCCTGTAGGAACGCTGCGTTACTGCGTTACTAAAACCGTGATTTTTTGCGAGAATGTCTCATGACAGTGACGTAAGCAAGTGCGCCGTTCGTGACAACAGCTGTGTGCAGATCAACAGTGCATCATATATCGAGTGCAGGAGAGAGTATGAGCGTGCAGCGTTTAAAGCGTGGAAGTACTGACCTTATTCTGAGTTTGATTCCATAAAAAGTGACAAAAACATTAGTGTCCGTTGTGCGTGGGAAGAAAACTTCTTTTTAAAGCGAAAAAAACCCCCCTAAACTTCCAAGCAAGCACCGAGTGCGCAACGACGTAATGGCAAACTCACAGAGAAACTCGCGGATTCTTCCACTGACCGCTGCGGCACACCTGCACCAGGGTAAACCTCCGCCTACGCCACTCCTGCTTTACAGGTGAAAATAGAGCAACAGGACCGCTAGTCTTTGATGTTATTTATTTTCTGCTGTGTTTTACTTGTATCTATTTGAAAGAGTGAGTGTAAATACACAAAAAAAAAATATTTTATGTGCTGGAATGTGCAGAAAATAAGTTTAAATGTTAAACAAATTTCTTCCAGTCAGAGAATGTTGCATATAATTAAATTTTTGCTTGATGCATAAAGTTAAAAGGTTAAAACTAATAAAACAAGTTTTTAAAAAAGACTTTTCCATTTGATTACATTTTGTATGATGGATTTTGCAGAAAAAGTAGAATTGGGCTGAAAGATCTATCGCTTTATCACCTATTCAGGTTGTAAATCGTGTTTTTAAAAAGTAACTAAGTAATTGATTACTTTTTAAAATAAGTAATCAGTAAAGTAACGGGATTACTTTTTTGGGGGAGTAATCGGTAATTAGTTACTGATTACTTTTTTCAAGTAACTTGACCAACACTGGTCAAGATCATCCTACACTGCATCATTAATGTGGAGATCTAGGCTCTGGGGAGGCCAATCCATGACTAATAGTGTTCCACTACGTTTCTATCCAGGTATACTTTTACTGCATGAAGCCATTGCCAAATGGTACTGGATGGTGGAGCAAAATCTGCTGGTACTTTTCTGCATTCATAGTTCCTCAACACTGCAGACAGCCCCAAATTTTGACAAAACTTCAAGTGTATTCAACAGAGAGGTCTAGGAATTCATTGTTGGATCTCTCTGGTGACCTGCTCCATACTTTCTGACAAGAGTTTGTATTAAATATCTTGAATTTGGATTCATCCCCCCATAAGATCTTTTGTCTCTGATGTTTAGTCTCGTTCTTTTAGATTTTGGCATTCCTTTTCTGCCTATTCTCTTTTTTAAAACAGCGAATAGTGAAGGTCCAGATGTAGACGACTTTTACTCAGTGCTGTAGCTCTATGATGAATAAAATTGCATACCATGCAAGTATCTGATAGTTAGCTACATTTTTAAATTTCATTTTAAAGCCCTGCACCAAAAAGAATAGATGACATCAAGAAGTGCTGTTAAGATTTGGCTGTTACACTGACAGTAATTTCCCCAAATACCACTGGACTCATAAAAACATCACTTTGAACTGTCTTTTAGGCTCATATCTGTCTAAAAGCTTCACATACTGTAGATCACAGTGGTTTTTAGTGACAATGCTGAAGACCAAACCCTTCTCTTTTGGAGAGATTAATCTAAATGTTAATCTGAGTCTTAATGCCG